ATATAAATGATATCATATATAAATATATTTAATATATAAACGGAACATATTTTTATTAAATATATACACTCATGGCATGTGTGTATAAATATATACACACAGTATATAATAAATATACACAGTACACATATATTATTTAAACAAAGACTTTTATTTTGGATGCGATTGATCGCGATTAATCGTTTGACAGCACTAAATATTATTCTTGTAAACAGAATTTAAAATGCACATTACTGCAAAGCAGTTACAAAAATGTTGACATTATGGTTGATATTTAAATTTGACAGGTGTGAAACAGGTGCAAGACATGAAATCAATTGATTTTAAATGCTACAAATGAATTTAGGCTTCACAATAATGTACAGTATGGGGGGAAAAAAGTTCATTTTGAGATGAAGATTGTTAAAGGGGTCATATGATGTTACTAAAAAAAACAGTATTTTGTGTATTTGGTGAAATGAAATGTGTTTGTGGTTTAAGGTTCAAAAAACACATTATTTTCCACATACTATACATTATTGTTTCTCCTCTATGCCCCGCCTTTCTGAAACGCGTCGATTTTTACAAAGCTCATCGGTCTGAAAAAGCGAGGTGTGCTGTGATTGGCCAGATATCCAGTGCGTTGTGATTGGCTGAATACCTCAAGCGTGTGACAGAAATGTTACGCCCCTAACCATACTGTGATGCCCTGTCAGACTGGAGCGACGATTCAAAAACAGGAAAACCCATTATAAACGAGGCATTTGTTGCATCCAGTGGGGACATAATTATGGATTATACTAACATATATATATATATACATATATATAAAAATATGATTATGGTGTGATATTAAACATATATGAAGGGTCAAAGTAATTATATAAAATCTGAATATATATATATATATATATATACACACACACAGTGCTTTGCGAAAGTTTTCATACCCTTTCAGTTTTGTCACGTTTTGTTATGTTGCTGCCTTATGTTAAATTGCTTTAAATTACTTTTTTTCCTACATCATTCTACACTCCATACACCATAATGGCAAAGCAAAAAAACTGGCTTTTAACATCTTTGCAAATTTATTAAAAATAAAAAACATAAATGATTCCATTGCATAAGTATTCTGGGACAAATTGAAATTTAGCTCAGGAGCATTCATATTGCTTGTAGATGTTACTACACTTCGAGTGAAGTTAACCTGTGGCAAATTCAATTGAATGGGTATGATTTGGAAAGGCGCACGACTTAATAAAAGGTCTAACAGCTAAAAATACATATCAGAGCAAAAACCAAGCCCTGAGGTCAAAAAGAACTGCCTGTAGAGCTCAGAAACAGGATTGCATCAAACCACACATCTGGGGAAGAGTTCAGGAAAAATTCTGCTGCATTGAAGGTTCACAGAATCACGTAGCCTCCATTATCCATAATGGAAGACATTTGGAACAACTAGAACTCTTCCTAGAGCTGGCCTCCTGGCCAAACTGAGGGCCTTGTCTATACTGGTGACCAAGAAGCTGATGGTCACTCTAGTTGAGCTCCATGATCATATATGCAGATGGGAGAAACCTAGAGAAGGACAAACATCACTGCAACACTCCACCGATCTGGGCTTTATGGCGGTGTGGCCAAACTCAATCCTCTCTTCAGTGAAGACACAAAAAAACACAGTTGGAATTTGCAAAAAGGCATCTAAAGGACCCTCAGACTGTGAGAAACAAGATTCTCTGGTCTGATGAACCTCAATTCCAAGCATCATGTTTGAAGGAAACCAGCTCTGCTCATCACCTGCAGAGTAGCATCCCAAAAGTAAAGTGTGCTGGTAGCAGCCTCATGCTGTGGGGTTGCTTTTCAACGGCAGGGACTGAGGGACTCGTCAGAGTAGAAGAAAAGCTCAATGCACCAAAATACTAAGATAGCCTTAAAGAAAACCCAGTCCAGAGCATTCAGAACCTCAGACTGGACAGAAGGTTCACCTTCCAACAGGACAATGACCCTAAGCACACAGCAAGAGTCAGTTATAGACAACTCTGTGAATGTCCTTGAGTGGCCCAGCCAGAGCATGAGCTTGAACCCAATCAAATATTTCTGGAGAAACCTGAGAAAGTGAGTCTGCCCCCATCCAACCTGACAGAGTTTGAGAGGTGAAGAAGTGAGGTGAAGAATGGCAGATAATTGCCAAGTGCTGATGTGCAAATCTTGACGCATCATACCCAAAAGGACTTGAGGCTGTAAAGGTGCTTCAGCTAAGTACTGAGTTATGTACTTATTTCAGTTTTTTTATTTCTAATAAACTTACGAAGTTGTAACAGTTCTGTTTTTGCATTGTCATTATGGTGTATGGAGTGTAGATTGATGTGGAAAAAAATTAATAACAAGCAGTTTAACATACGGCTGCAACATAACAAAACGTGAAATAAATGAAGGGGTATGAATACTTTCGCAAGGCACTGTGTATATAT